TAGAAAGGTAGAAAATTGATCTCCCTATCATCGGAAAACATTTATATATAAACACACTCACACGCACACACACACACACACACACACACATATTCTCTAAAAGATTACAAAATGTTCGACTAAGAAATTCTGGAGTCGATGTGCTGACTATAATGAGCTAAATGACCAATTTCATATTTGTGCAAAACTCATATATATATATATATATATATATATATATATATATATATATATATATATATATATATATATATATATATATATATATATATATATATATATATATATATATATATATGTATGTATATATATATATGTATGTATATAAATAAAAAGAAAGAACAGTAAGATATAAAATCCGGTGTTCTTATAGATATTTTTATTTTTATTTTTACAAAATAGTGCTCAATGTAAATTTACGGAGCATTAATATTATAAATTAATTGATTTAAAATATGGTTTATATATATATATATGTATCTCTGTATGTGTGTGTGTGTCTGTGTCTGTGTGTGTCTGTGTATTTATATGTAAAAGTTAAGAAATCTGTTGGTATATAATCCAAATGGATCCTACTAATATAAAATATTAAAACTGATCCACAAAGGATTTCAATATATTTATTATGACAGAGTAAAAATTAATGCAATCTCAATTCACCTCATATGGCGAATAACATTATTTCGACCGAGGAAAATATTGTTCAGTCTTATTCAACCCGATATAGGCGGTGTATATATATATATATATATATATATATATATGTGTGTGTGTGTGTGTGTGTGTGTGTGTGTGTGTGTGTGTGTAAAGAAAGAGAGACAGTGAGACAGAGAGAAAGACATAAGTTAGATACATATTTCTCAAGAATTAATAATTTTTTAATCAGAACTTTGATTACTTCAAACGTTATTATAATGTCCACAATAATAATTAATAATATATATATATATATATATATATATATATATATTGATAAGTCTCATTGAAACTTTTAAACAAATTTTGTTTCTTTTTATTCAATAGGGTCCTCTCATATTCACAGACAAGCTTCTTATTATCCTAAGAGAGAAAATTACCATGTTGATACATATTCATTTAATTCGAGTACTTTCAACATTATCACAATTACATCATCAGGGTGCTGTTTATCTCAGACTAAACATTGTTGTGTTCATAATTTAATAATAGAGGTGGTGGTGTGGCCATTGCTCTTGACCAATGCAGTGCTCAATACATAAGTAAAGGCTAAATTATAATTATTTTACTGATATACGAATGTATATGCATATAAAACTCCGTAAATTACAAGAGTAGTTATTCCAAAATTCGCTTAAGGATGAAACAGATGTGTTTTTTTGGCTTTTGTTTTTGAAACATGAGAACTCTTATGGAGCGATGGAATCATATTTTAAAAAAATAATTATAGCATATATATATATATATATATATATATATATATATATATTATAAATTAATTGATTTAAAATATGTTTTTTTTCGCTACACAGTTTCGAATTTTGGAGAAAAAGTTACTCCAAAATTCGCTTGCGGATGAAATGGAACTAATGTCTTTAATCTAATTACAAAATTAAATTCGGAGCTTTCAGCTTCCATTTTTGAAACATGGTTAGAACTGTGTAGCGAAAAAAAAATCCATATTTTGAATCAATTAATTTATAATTTTAATGCTCTGTAAATTTACATTGAGCACTATTTTGTAAAAATAAAAATATCTATAAAACACCGGATTATATATCTTACTGTTCTTTGTTTTTTAAATATATATACATATATATATATATATATATATATATATATATATATATATATATATATATATTCTATTTAAAAAATATGGTTCCATCGCTACAGAAGAATTACCATGTTTCAAAACAGAAACTAAAATTTTATATTTAATTATAAAATTAAATTTGAAATACATACCTCCGTTCCATCCTCAAGCGATTTTTGGAGAAAAAAAACTATTAAAAAATTTACTTAATTTATAAGCATAGACAATCTTAATATATTAAATTCTTAAGGTTATGGAAAACTCAATCATTTTGATAAGGGGTGGTTGGGTTTTAATTTCTTTAGACAACTTATGTCTCAAGTATAAGTTACTTTCAAAATCGTGTTAAGTTAAGGTGGGGTAGCCGGGCCGCTCACAAACAATGACATAAAAAGTTTTTGGTATTTTATATGGCCGTTTAATATATGATTTTATACACAAACATTTCTTAAAAGGATCGTTTGAATATGAGTTAGTTGTATGTTTAATATTTAAAATTTATTCCTACAAATTTAAAATATTTTTCCTACTCCTAATAATTAATATACTATGCGTTATATATTACAAATAAATATATTAGAATTACATTCGTATTTAAAGAAAGAAAATTATTATTGAAAGATCAAGTATAAATATGTATGTTTTATCTTTCATTTCGTTTTTAAAATGAATTATGATTTAAGGTAAATATTTGATAGTATATGCAACAAATAGCTATTTCATTTCTGTGATTAAGTAAATTTTTATTTTTCAGAAACGTAATAATGTATAACTTTTCATATATGCACAAAGAAGATGGGTCATTTAATGACCTACAAACTCTAGCTCTTATTAATTTTCAATTTATTGTTGGTGTTTTATTGCTTTTTTTTAATGCCAGAAATATTTAGATAGAACGTTTGATTTCTGTATTTATTATTTTACAAGACATCTGATGTTGGTTCCAACGTCTTTTGATTTCATGGTTTGTGCATCCAATGTAGATTTTGCCTATGTCTTGATATTCAATAGATTAAAGATGCATTGATAAATCAATTTTGTAAGCTAAACTTTGATTAGTGTTTTTTTTTTTTTAATAAAAATAATTAAAAGAACACTGGATTGTGAATGTTACTGTTCTTTCTTATTATTTTAACACACCCACACACACACACACACCCACACACGCACACACACACATACATATATATATATATATATATATATATATATATATATATATATATATATATATATATATATATATATATATATATACTTAAACGATATTATTAGTGAATATCCATATTGAGGAGACGATCCGTTTATTTATTAAACAATATATTTATTTTCCTCCACCGGCCTGAATATTCGAGAAATCTTAGTAGCGAGAATCCATCATTTCTTTAGGCAGTAAAAATTCTTTCATACAAGTTTTACGCGCAATAACAACGAGTCTCCAACGTATTACTTAGATTTATCATGTCAGAAGTTAAAGTGGTCTGCGACTAATTACGATTGTGCCAGTCGTTATCAAGAATTTCGATTTTTTAGGCCGTTTATGAAAATCTGTGTAGCAAATTCTGGCGTCTTTTGTTTCTTTAAATTAAATTTAAGTCATTTAAAGATGACAACATTGGAAAATTTGATTTCTCTTTCTATGAGACTGTGTAAATTTTATAGCGAACCAAGAAATTAACAATTAATTATATATATATATATATATATATATATATATATATATATAAATTTAATTTAAAGAAAAAACACACGACTTTAAGTTTCCATTGTTATAATTTATTTCACCAGAGATTTTATTTTTCTCTGGATCTTCACACTTCACTTTCGTTACATATATATATATATATATATATATATATATATATATATATATATATTATATATAATTGAGCTCAGAGGTCAACAACAAGTAGTGCTATTTTGATGACCTAAAGATTTGTTCAAATATGAAACAAACTGTCGCCACTCGGTTTTATTCTCAGCTTGTTCGTTTATATTTACACACACCCGATCCCTAATATTTAGCGCCTTTTCTATAATATAGCATATCTTTAAATTGCACACACACACACACACACACACACATATATATATATATATATATATATATATATATATATATATATATATATATAGAGAGAGAGAGAGAGAGAGAGAGAGATGACACGAAATAAAACAAGATTAAAAACGAAAGAATTTTTTCCAACCATGTGCAACTAAATGACCCTATGTTGTAACCTCATTAAACATACCAATTCGTTCCCTCTCTCTAAGTCACTAACATTACTTTCAAAATCTACCACAATACTAACTGTAGAAGTCATAACATAACTTACTTATTAGAATGCACACTACGCCAGAAACAATATGCGGAGGAATTTGAATGGACCTTTCAATACAGAATTAATAATTATCGGAATCGAATCAAGTCGTCTTCCAACGAATGTTTATTGCCTGTAGAACAACATTTATTCCTAGAAAAACATGATTTTAAAAGCTATGCAAAATTCTCTATTATTGAAAGAATAGTAAAAGACACAAAATATAAACTTAGAAAAATACTAGAAGAACATGAAGACAAATGGATTTTGCGTCTCAAAATACCTTGTCCGGTCGGATTTAACAACAGACTAATCAGATAGAATTAGTCTATAATTGCATAGATCATTTCTCTCTTACACGTTATAATTTCTCCATAGTGGGATATAATCTACTGTTACTACATAGAAGAGAACGGCACACATTAATCCGTCTCACACTCATCCACCCTAGACAGATATGTTTGTAGAGAGGTGATGAGGTTTCCCACATGCACACAAAACACACAAATATATATACACATACACAAATCACACACTAAAAAATATAAAAGATAACATACACATAAGACACACGAACATCCACTTCCCAGCCACCAATAAAGCTGTCAAAATAGGAGGTAAATCTGAGGCTCATGAATCTCCCAACCTCACAAGTCCCCCAACCTCACAAGTCCCCCAACCTCACAATTCTCCCAACCTCACAAGACCCCTAACCTCACAAGTCCCCCAACCTCACAATTCCCCCAACCTCACAATTCCCCCAACCTCACAAGACTCCTAACCTCACAATTCCCCCAACCTCACAATTCCCCAAACTCACAAGACCCCCAACCTCACAAGACCCCCAACCCCACAATTCCCCAAACTCACAATTCCCCCAACCTCACATGACCCCCCAACCACACTATTCCCCCAACCTCACAAGTCCCCAACCTCACAAGACCCCAAACCTCACAAGTTCCCCAACCTCACAATTCCCCCAAACTCACAAGACCCCCAACCTCACAAGTCCCCCAACCTCACAAGTCCCCAAACTCACAAGACCCCCCAACCTCACAATTCCCCCCAACCTCACAAGTCCCCAACCTCGCTTTAAAAAAAAATCTTGAAAACGGTCTTTGAACAATACAAGGACTGTCCCAAAATTTATGATAAAAAGCGAATGAAAAGTACAGGCAAAGTTCACCTTCTTCATTAACCCCTGGAGTTCATGATTTAAACGCATATTGAAAAGAATTAGTCTTAAATCCAAATATATATTCGATAAATACAACGATACTGATAACTGTATTTCCTAGATGTGACTTGAAGGATTTTAACTAGAGCAAACCCGTCTCACACATGCTAAATGAGGTTCAAATCTGGATGGTAAGAGAAATAATAGAATACAGAGACACCATTCGCGTGTTCCTGAAAAGAATTTCGTAGATTAGAAAGTTGAATTATCTTCAGTAAACGAGTTATCAGCCCCTGGAGACATGACAAGATCTGTGCAAGTCTCCCCCCTGTCAAGACAGAATGCAGATGTCCAAAGAACATCAGAGGAAATCATTGTACATTCTCTTCCATGGATCGAATCATTTGGCTGCTTCGATATGTGGAAAGCAGAATACATATATAAGTGGAAATTTAGCCCAACACCGAACGTCGGCAGTCCGTTTTAACACACTTCAGTCTTGTGATTGGGCCCGTCTCTCTCTATCCCCTATATATATATATATATATATATATATATAAAATTGTGCATTTGAGTCAACACTCAGAGTCGTCAGGCTGTTTCATGCTAGATGCAATCATCAGGCCGCGAGTGTTGGATTTTTGTCGACTATTTATATATATGGGTAAGTGGGGCATTGTGGGTAATCCATTCTGGCAGTTATTTTGGCGGGAGTGACTTATTTATTCGTTTATTTAGGTTAATTTATTTTATTTGTATTTTATTTTCGTTTTTTCTTTTTTTCTTTACGGTTTTCGGTGTTTTTTTAACGTAGTAAAAAAATTGCGCAGGTCGCTTATTAAATAGTTTGTTTAAATGTTTCTATGTTCACTTTTATATTTATATTTACAAACGCCCTACATTTGATATAGAGCACTTTATCCCATTAATATAGCACACCCAAACTATATTTCTTAATATATATATATATATATATATATATATATATATATATATATATATATATATATATATATTCTCTTAAATATTCTCTTGAGTAGAAATAATTGTGAATCCGAATGTGACTTTTTGTAGGTATTGATTAGTGTTGTTTGTTAACATGTTTCCTGTTATCTGTAATCGATTACTTATTTGTTGAGTATTATTATAATTGTTTTTTTGTTGTTGTAGCATAGGACTTCCCTACTACTATGGCAATGGACTGATCCTACTTATAAGTATGACAAGCAGCCATAATAAAGTAGGATTTGAGGAGTATTTATCTTCAGTAAACCAGTTATCAGCCCCGGGAGACATGAGAAGATTTGTACAAGTCTCCCCTGTCAAGACAGAATGCAGATGTCCAAAGCCTTATATATTCGCTTCCACGGATAGAATCGTTTGGCTGCTTCGATATTTCAAATTATTCTCTTGTGTAGAAATAATTGTGAATCCGAATGTGTTTTTGTAGGTATTGCTTAGTGTTTTTAACTTTTTCCTTATTATTTGTAATCTCTCTCTCCATATATATATATATATATATATATATATATATATATATAAAAAGTGAACATTGAAGTCAAAACCGAGAGGCGAAAGGCTGTTTCATGCTAGATGCAATCGTCAGGCCGCGAGTGTTGGATTTTTGTCGACTATTTATATATATGGGTCAGTGGTGCATTGTGGGTAATACATTCTGGTCGTTATTTTGGAGGCAGTGACTTTTTTATTTATTTATTTATTTTCCTTTCTGTGTATGAGTACTTAATAAACCTCTTAATTTTCTGATAATCTCTCTCTCTCTCTCTCTCTCCATCTCGCTCGCTATGGCCTTCCAATTTCTCAGCTATTTTGAACGAAGACAACATTACAACAATTACTATTGCATTTACTTGTGTTTATGTGTGGAAATAGTTGTTAGCCTAATACAACATGACTGTCTACGCATAATACACCATTGACAAGCTAACTAATCGAGCTAACATATAACAATCATGGCCTGAAAATTGCGTTCAATATGAAATAGATTATCGGCTCTCGGTGCTGATATGCGCCGTCTTTTATATACCTCCCCCCACAAAAAAACAGATAACATATACATACAATGAATGACATATATAAGCGATCATATACACATACATTAATAAAGGCACACACATATACACACCTACAAAGATGCAAGTTTGAAAGTGTTAGTAAACGAAATCAGACAGACTAGTAACATATTACTTATGTATGCCTTTCATTGTATATACATGTTATCTTTTTTTAGCGGCGGTGGGGTCGTGGACATCTATTTCCTATCTCGTTCGTGTATTTGCGTTTTTATGTATCTAAATATGCCTATGTGTTTGTATATTATAATCTGATTGTGTATGTATTGTCTTTTGCAATATTTCATCCTCTTCATCATGTATTTTTACTCCGTTTTTTCGTTAAATAATTTTATAATATTTCAAACTTAATACAGATTAGATATAAAAATGTAATTTTTAATTTTCATTTTTATAGTAAAATTTAATATTAATTAGAATTTCTATTTTAGTCTAACCCTAACATTAAGGCATTAATGATTATAATCAGGTTTCGTTGTCAACTTTTTTGAATTCTAATATACTTGTATTTTGATTGGTCGTTGCAGCTTATGTAACAGCGTTTCCCCTAGCGAGAGGTGTTTGATTGATTTGAACCTTTTAAAACACTTTATTCTACATTCAACACCATCACTCGATAAGACACCAGAAGTGTTGAAAGAAAATGGCTATTTTTGTAATGATTTTATAACATTTATGTTATAATTTTCGAATAAATTATATTTGCTCTAGACTATATTGAGCACTCTTTTAAGAATAATACTTTTTCTTTATTATAATTTATACCGTATACACCAATCCTATACTTGGTATATATATATATATATATATATATATATATATATATATATAGAGAGAGAGAGAGAGAGAGAGAGAGAGAGAGAATATACCTAGTGTAACAACACAATTGTCCAATTGTTAGATTAAGCTATGACCGTTGTAACTTAGAAATGATTAAAGATATCTCACTGGAATTCTCCGAGGTTTTTATATATATATATATATATATATATATATATATATATATATATTATTCAGGATAATTTTAAAACTTATTCAAGATGACATTCGTCCTCTCTAATCTTCTAACTTTCTGTCCTGCCTCACATGTTTCACGTCCAGTTTCATTTACAAGTCTTTTTTCATTGCTCTTTTGACTGTCATAACTGAACCTCTTCTGTCACATGCCAAATGTCTTCTGTATTGAGTTGGATCTTTTCTAATTGATCTTGTTAGCTCTAAGTTGGAATGATGATACCTTTTTTCTGTTGTGACATCCTGATCCAGTTTTCCTCTCTACTCTTCCCTCCTTTTTAAACTCATTCACCGTTCCCTTCATGATTCTTAAATGGCATTTGATGATCGAAGTGAGAGAATGAATGTTGGTAAGATTTCTGAAGGTCTCAATGATCTTTTTCCTCACACTATTTCTCAGTTGGAAAGACAGTGGGGCTGACACAAAAGAATTTTAACCTGCTCTTTTTTACGCTGAATAACTTAATGGGTTTTTCAAGGATTCTTACGAAAAATGATGTAAAAATGGCTAAAGGTCTTATCCGAAAACCTGGAAAAAAGAACTACAATTAGTTTAGTGTTTTTTTTTTTTGTTTTTTGTTTTTTGTTTTTAAGATATTAAACATTTTCCGTTACATTATGGTGTTACGCGTTTGGACAATTTTGCTGTTACATCCCGTATATATTTCTAAAGGAGTGATGGATTTTTATATTTTATTCTGACAGATTTTATTACTTAAACGTTATTTATAATGGATACCCATATTTGAGTAGACGTTCAGTTTATTTATTAAACGGTATTTTTTTATTTATTTGGGAATATTCGAGAAATGCATGAATATTCGAGAAATCTTGATATTCGAATTTTGATTCGAACTTGTGTCCCCCTGGACAGGGCAAACCGTCGTTACACCCAACGTAGTTTACACCTCTCGTCTTCAAAATCGACGATGATCAAGCAAGATTGATCTTTCGGTGATCTAGTCCGGTAACTGTTACATTCAAACGTGAACCCATTGAACTTATAGCAATAAGAAATATTTTTCTATTAAAAAAGACAAACTATTCATTGTTCATCTATTCATTTGCGTGTCTGTATAAATCTCATTGGCATTTTACTTTTTACGTTTTAGTAATGCTCTATCAAATACATAAAATGTACGCAAAAAGAATAAAAGGAAAGCCAATATTAAAATATTAATCGGAGAATGACCTATATATAGATCTGGAGTCAACAACGGGGGAAAATACATCCTATAAAGTAAGGTTACATTAAAATATGTATACTATTGCTATATTGTACTGTTTGTCATTCGTTGTGCTCGAAGAGAGACGTAAATTCTAAGAATCGCATCGTACACAAGTCAAAGAACGGTTTCTTTATTACTTGTAGTTTTTACGACTTCGATTGAAGATCGGTAATCTTATTAAAAAGAGGTTAGATTATTTCTTGCATAAATTCTATAGTTTAATGATGGAAAGTCAAGGTTGCAATTCTACAGTTTTCTTTCTTTATTGAATTGACGCTAAAAACGACATTATCTACTTTAATGATATATATATATATATATATATATATATATATATATATATATATATATATATATATACGTGTGTACTGAGACAGTCAGATATGCAAATATATATATTCATGAATAGATAGAGGCTAAAATTAAGTAGAATGGACATTTATTTCCATGCAAGATCTTTTATTCAATGATCTACAAAAACATGACAACAGTCAATAGACATTTTTTTTAATCAAATCCTTTTATGTTCAATCAAAACTTTTTTATATGTTTATCGACAGAGAC